GTCAGGACCTAGTACAAAACACCAAAGTAAACCGCCGATTTAACGACTTCACAACTCTTCAAATAAATCACTTGTTTATTTTCAAGGGCTAACAAAAGTGTACTTATGTTAAACATTACTCGTTTATTTTCAAGGGCTAACAAAAGTGTAGACTTGTTAGACTTGAATTACACTAGAATATTAATTACTTTCAAAAAGTTATTCAAGGAAATAAAATGCCTTGAGAAATCTCAAATTACACAAGACATTTCGCTTTTTATTATACGGGGTGGGGAAAAAATGGCTATACAGTTAAAACAACAAATAACACACGATATGAAAAAGATACAAAATTAAAAACATTTTTCATTCAGGCCAATCTTATGACCTCCAAAAAATTGACTCTACATGTTTCAACTTCATCATCAGGAGTGAAATTGCAAGACATAATAATGCTATATTTACACTTTTTTAACCTAGTCATGTGACCTATGTGGGGGTATTATTTCTGCATAATACTTAAAGGAGGTTCCTCCACTTTCTTACACAGATATTCGTGGGACCTTCGTCTATATTTAATAATTCATTATCTTTTTTTATTATTTTAACATAACATTATACACAAGTGTCAAGAAACAATACTTGACTAGACAGTTGTTTCATTTAGAACATTTCTTACGTCTTAGTCTGAAACAAACAATAACTAAATTGATTTCAGTCTTCTTTGTAACATTTTCTTTAGTACTATAGAACTAAATGTATACCAACTTTTGTTTCACATGTATATTTGTATGTGTCTCAGTGTCTGTATACACATACCATGTCTTTTGATTATATAAAAAACCAAAACATGGTTAATTATAAACTTTATTTCCAACTTTTAAAACAACATCATCCAGAAATCCTCCACTTAAAACAACTTTTTCACAGCCATTTGTGATTTACAACGAAATTTAAAAATACAACTCATAGATTCACTGAAAACAGTAATTTGTATTAAATGACAAACATTATTTCACAGAACAAAATAAGATTTATAAGTACTGATTCCATTAATTTTTGAAATATAAGATTTCTTTAAACCAAATCATGTTTGTTGTTTCTTTCATTAATGGCTACCCAATTCCTCAACCATGTGCACAAGTCAAGTCTTTAATTTTTTGACATTTCAACTTCTTTCCTAAAATAGTCCACAGTCTTTCTTAAGCCTTCTTGTATTGTCACCTAGAAACAAGATAATTTCACTTGGTTAATATCTAAACCTCATCCAGCTGTCAATGTTTAATGAAAGAATTAACCCTCACCAAGATTAATCTCAAAAACAAGACTGAAAGTACAAAAGTACAGAATTGTGACTGCAAGTTAGCAACCAATTTTTTCAGAGTTATTGACCTAATAAAGATAAAAATATGTTCATTGACAACATGACATTGCAATTCTCATTAGTGAAGTGTATAAAGTCGAAGAAATTACGTTTTAGATTAGAAATAGTTTTCCAAAATATTTTTCTACATATTGAACTTATTGGATGGTTGCATTGACCACAGCATTTGATATATATCGGGGGCTAACTAGAAATAGGCTAAACAGATGGATTTTTTAATGATATGTTTATATTTCAGCAGGTTTAGCTATAATATTGTAACTAAAGTCAAATACCCTTAGAATTATGACAAAGAAATTTCAGTTTTTCCTTCTTTCTAATCATAAGTATATTTTGTTTAAATATACAGTTGTATAATGCTTCCAGGATTAAACTATGAGATGCCAGGTAAATCTCATATTTACTATTCAATATTTAAACAATTCTATAACAGTTCACTAATCAAGTTTACATAAAAACTTAAATTTTTTGTTATAATTCATGCTCTTGAATAAACTGAAGAGTACCAGATATGTACTTCATCCCAGGTAGCACCACCCATTGCAACACACTGTGGGTAAAACCCGTTTTTTTTGTTTGTACCAAACACCCTCTTTTCATGCAAAGAAGGGAGCATAACAAAATGAGGAAACCTTTAAAGCACTAAGTGCAATATTAAACTAAATTATATTTAGTTTACAAGGTAGTTTTACAAAAACATTCCACATTTAAAATGACTGTACATTAAAAGCTACTTGTTTTAAGGGAACTTGGAATATTTGGTTGACACAGGTGTAGATCTTTACTTATGTTTCAGTTCATTGTGGATTGTGGTGAGTATGAACAATAAGAACAGCCTGGCACTCATGTATGTTGATAAAGTCCTGAATTACCCTTGATAACTCCTGTGAAAGAAATGTTTCTAGGCATACGTTAGTGTCCTAGAACCACTTGACGAGACTAAAGAACATCCATTACAAGTCCAGTGAGTGTTCAGTCAATCCTCCCTTTTTAAGAAGAGTATCAAACAGTTAAGCATTAAGGGGTGGGCATTATCTTTCATTAAGCTTAGTTAATTTCAGGACCATTTGCACCACTAGCATATAATACTACAAAAAGCTGTAGGATATGGTTCCTATGAAGCAGGATATTAGTAGTTACTAGACAACCCGTTGGGTCACCAACTATTCAGATGTTATTCATAATTCAAGCTAATTTCAATATTGCACCAAAATGAAAGTTTATTTTGAGATAATTTAATTAAATATTTCAATCCATTCGTTTTATTCATAATTCAAGAAAAAATATTTGATTGTTGGTCGGGAGTAAAAGGAACAACCATTTCATTTTTCAAAAATGTGAAGTCAGAGTTTTCAGGTATTGTGACGAATTAGTTCATTATGTTGTTGTCTTTCCTATTAAACTTTCTACAAATAAGAAACAGTAACACTTTATTTTTTCTTCGAATTACCTACCATAACCAAGGCACATTATTGATAAATTCTTCAAGATCTTGTTTTTGTCATCTTAGCCTTTTAATGAAGATGAGAACATTGACAGGGAAATAAATTTGAATGAAGAAGTTTCATAAAAAGTGCAAGCAATAGTGTGATGTAAAATTACTCATGCTAGAAATTTTCATAAAAGTGACTCGAAAACGGCGCTAACTTGATAACCCGTGGCCCAATTTCAACTAAACTTGTTTTATTCTGTTTCTATTCTCATTTCTCATATTCTATTCATATTATCATATTTTGCACTGTTTTTGCTGTATTCAATTACAGACAAGCATACAAACAATCTCAGAGTTTTAGTAGTATATAGATTAATCCTTCTTCATTTAACATTAGTCTCATCTAATTTCAAGGTTGGCCTCTTGGGTATTCTATATTAGTCAAGAATTTTGTACACTTGGGTGACTGGTCCTGACAGAACCCTAAAGAGCAAGCATATTCAGTGATGTACTTCATACCAGATAGCATCACCCACTGCAGCCCAAAACTACATCCATCAATGTTTATTCCTGACAACACTAAACATTCCATCATTACCAAATGCATCACATTACTATATGGAATTGGTAGAAATTATTTCTATATTAATCTACACGGGCTGCAGGTAATGATTTTTATACCCTTTTTTTCCCTACTGTGTTTGTTGTCTAAAAAATAATTTATGTAACTTTCCAATATGAAGTTGAGAAAACCAAAAACATATTCACTAGATTAAGATGCCACAAAAACCACTGTAATTTACTTGGTTTTTAACTAACTTATAAATCGGTTTAAAAATTCCATTACTTCTTGGATCAATGTCTTTGGTCCAAACTCACGGAGTTCAAACAGCAAACTATTGACTTTTATGGCTAAAAAAATCAGACTTATTTATGATTTATGTAGTGTACAATTTACTCTTTCTATTGATTATCAGAGAAAATTATAAACATCTTTTGAAAGACAGGATGTAGTAGGCGGGTGTGGCATGTAAGTTTGACATTCTAGTTTACATCTCAGTAAAAGCAAGAAGCTTGGAGGATAAAAGTTTACCTTTATGGCTTATGAATATCTATAATGTAAATTTGTAATTTGTTACAAAGTCAGAAGATCATATAGGGGTAGAATCTCTGAACAGAATACAAAAAGTCTATCCACCTTTAGGTTGGCTTTTTGTGGTGGCTAGAGTGGCCTAAAAGATGACCTTCAAAAAACAATCTGAAAGCCAAATCCAGTAAATAAAACAAGAATTATGTTAAAGCTTCCCCTCCACCAGAACTTCCCAAAATGTTCTGTCACCCATGTGATGTGACAAGTTCTATTTGAAGGAAGGACAATGAAGGTTTCTGGAATCCTATATCCACAAATGGTCAGAACATCAGAAGATTAGCAGCAACTAATAAATGACTTAATCAGCATTTTAGCTACATACAGAGAGAGACAGATATAACTGTATTAGCTTTTCTAACAATCTGAGATTGTCTAAGGGTAAGAATAATACAGTTCATTACTGTACACATCTTGCTTTCTCAAGCTTTTAACTAAATACAGAAACCTGTAATGAAATTTTGAAAATCTCATGAATAAAGAAAATGAATGTTGAGGAAATATCAAGTAAAATCTGTAAACTTGTGAACAGTTCAATATTACCAAATATTACATATTCTAAGTCAAAACAGTTGAAAACTCTGGTACTTTGTCTTCTGTTTGTCTAAAATGAATCAGTAATTTGTTGTTTAGTTTTGCTCAGATTATTCACAAACCTACAAATATTTTGATTATTTTAAATATACCAAATTGAACATATCCCACCACCACCAATGAAACACTGGTTACATCATGTTTTTCACAGTACAGTACACTATCCTGCACTTGAAAATGCTTATACAAGTGTTGAAAGTTGTGCGCTCACTATGTTTTTGCTGATCTCAGAAGGACTTAATTCACCTTACTGCATAGTAATTAGCAACCAAACTCGATGTAAGTTTTCCAGCAGCTCCTCCAAAAGTTACATTCACCACTATCTATATAATTTATTTTAATTGATGTCAGGATCTGAGTATTTAACAAATGGACAAAGCTCCATCATCTGGCAAGACAATCAATTTACATTACTGTAATAATAATAATAATAATAATAAATTAAAAATAAAAAAAAAAAGAAAAGAAAGAAAGAAAGAAGACATTTCTGCAAAAGTTGTAATACAATGTACAATCTGCCTTCCAGGCTCTCCAAGTAGTGGCAACAGTTTTTGACAAATACTACAACTACAAGTGGGTTTTAATTATACAGTATCAATGTACATTGGTTGACATGCTTCAGTCCATCCAAAATGGAAAATCAGCTTTAATCAGAACATACAATTATAACATTGTCTTGAAGAAACTGGCCAAAACATATCCATAATATGAGGCAAAACCTAAAAGGCTATAAACTTTTTTTTTTGTCACAGGTTCAGTCTAGTTTTTAAACACTGCCATTTTCACAGAATAAATGGGCCTTCACACCTACTAAGAAACTACATACTAGTATTCATAAGTGCACACTTTCCTAGCTCCAAATTTAAACCTGCCTTTATTACTCATTAAAACACCATTTTCAAGCACTCAATAACAGACTGAAATGTGTGGCCAAACACACTAGAATATTATTCACACATGAGGAATCTTTACCATTGCTGCTTCTTCAATGTAAGTTCTATCAGCTTCTCAAACGTTCTGGATGCATTACATACCCAAGCTGAATGGCACCATACAAAAATTACAAAAGTCATCTTGAGTGCTACACATTTCTACAAATAGATAACTGCCAATCACAACACTAAAATACCTCATACTTTTATCAAAATTACTAGCTAACATGGCCAAGCACCTTCTTGTGGTTGTATTACTTCATCCTGAAACATCTGCTCCATTTCTTTACTGGTAACATCTTCGGTCTTCCAAGAAAAAATTTTCATAGCAGTTGATTTATCAGGTGTGTATCTCTTGTGTCTCTATGAAGATGTATGACTGGTGTTCCACCCAGTCAGCTATCTGATCTACAAACACAGTGGAAGATTTCACCAGCCATCTATTGAGTTAAACTCTCTGTTCCAACCAAAACTGCATAGTAATAAGGCATCTGTTCTTGAACATAGTACAGTTGATGTAACAGTAGAAATAAAGCTTGTTCAGATACTTTTGCATCACTTACTGGCTGGAATTATAGACCTGCAGCAAAAGTTAACGAGCAGTCAAAGTCTTGAAGAAGTGTATTATATGAGTATATGTAGAAGAGAGAATTATAGTATCTCCAACTTGGGTTTTATAGAGTTCTACCAACTCAGACTTGTGTTTTGCTACTGTCTGCTTCAGTGATGGATCTTGTGTGTGAAAAACACAACTTTCTGTCTAGAAACAAATGTGCATCGATTAAGAAGTTCTCTCTCCAAGTCCCACTTGGTTTATATATATGGACAGATGGTTATTCACCTTATGTACCAATGCCAAAACCAAAATAAGAGATGACTTTCATTCTGCCAGTAACAGTCAGTATAAGACAGAATAAATCCAGTATCCATCAATGAAGTGATAGCTTCATTGGAGTGTCTGATAAACTACGAAGTGCAACAGAATTCTGGAAGCACCATCAAAAACTCAACCACACATTCGAGCACCTTCACATGTATGTAACAAATTACGTTCAGTCCACACTGCAGGAGAATACCTTTTTTCTCTTTCCTGTAGCATGACAATTTTGTTTACAATGTTCAAGTAGCTTTGTCCCCGAGTGCCAGCTATTGCAACCTAACTGAAACAGTGGTAGCACTAATGTGTTAACAAGACCTAGGTATCCACGACTGCTCACCAGGAACATCCTAGTTATAATTTGAAATGATAGTACTAGCAGCAGAGGACCTATGGGTTAAGGATTTCATATTTTTCAGAGATAGTGGTACCTCAGAAGCATTTTCTGACCAAGGTTGAGCAACTGCAAGTACAATTTCTGGCTTTTTACCTCTCAAGCAGCTTGTTTGAAGTAACTGTCTCATACTGTGTTGCAAAAGAAATGACATCTTATGCAACTTAATGAAACTGATCACTGGTATCCTAAAATTTATGAAAGTTAACATTTTCCTAAACTGAAAATGTATCTCCGACAGATAACTCCTCTCACAAAAAGCTTTCTTGACCTATACTGCCCTCTATCGGTGCCAATCTTCACTCGCCTTGATACTTCCACTTACCCTCATATATGTTAACATGAAATAACTGCATACTAACATTCATATGATTATGCAGCAACCCTCTACCAATAGGAGTGCAACACTACATCTATTGTAACTAGCATCCTCTCTAATCTTGCAGCCGTTAACCACTCTTCAATTGGCAGTCTTACTGAATAGACATGTTTTCACTCACGGTTTTGATTAACTTATCCATAAGTTTTTATTTTCTTAATTTTTCTACTTCAATTACATTGTTATTTACTGTTTGTGTTCTCATTCATGGAGAGTTACAAGTTATTTTCTCTCCTCATTCAATTTCGAGAGTTATGCACTTGGAGTTTCAGGTGGAAACGACTACAACTGCTGTTACCGTTGCAGCAGATTTACCGACCACATCCACTGGGTCGGAACCATGATTCTCGGCCCATGAAGTGACGGATCTGGTCCATCATGCAGCATTCAAAACAAACTGATGATTGACCAGTCATACCTGCTCAGGGTTTCAGTGATCGGGAAGACATAGATTTGGACAACTTTATTCCCCCCTCCTGAATATATCTCTCATTTGCATGTCATTTTGGGGGGCTTGCCCAGCCTCCTTCCCCTTATATGGAATGGATTAACCAGGTATGTTATGTTCTTCTCTTCTGTTTCCTATGGTTCCACCCCTGCCCTTCTCAGGAACAAGCCTTTAGGTCATTATTTAGTGTTTCCTCCTTCCACGGATATTGGAGTTCATGCAAGTTGTTTTAGGAACATTTGTGTCTGGGATCAGTATGCCTCGACCCCCACGTACTATGGATGATCATACTTTTGCTTAGCATCGTTCCACCTTCCCTTATCTTGATTCACAGTGTTTGGTGTCACATCTCCTTTTGTAGGGATTGGACCCCGATACTTCGATTACATTTTCCCAACAATATTGGAGGGCAGTGTAAGTCGAGAAAGCTTTTTGTGAGTAGAGATAAGATATCATATTGAAAAAACAACATGTATGTTGATAGACTAGTGATACATAAACCTCTTTAAATAACACTAAAAATTATTCTAGTCATTTGCAGGTTGGATACCTTTTGTGGATAACTTTTTTACTAGTTAAAGCAGATATATATTTTTTACAACTTTTATAGTTTTAATGATTAATACCTTCCTCTATTTGAAAATAAACTAAGGAATAATAGTTTAAAGTTGAACATCTTATGAACCTATAGCTACAAAAATTAGAGAAAGGTATGGTGTAACAAAAATAATAATAAATGCAATTAAAAAAATTCTGTCTTTTTAAGAAACTCATTGTATGCTAAATTCATGAATCATTATAAATAAAAATATTTTTGACTTTTTTATATGTTTTACATTTAGCAAAAAATACAATCCTTTTATTCTAATCCTGAAAATAAAAAATCTAAGCACACAATAAAATTACCTTGGGACTCCAATTTAAATAATTATTGGCACGAGTGATGTCAGGCTTCCTTTTCTGTGGGTCATCTTCAAGGCCTTCTTTGAAAACTATAGGACTAGAGCTCCCTTAAAAATTATATAACAGAAGACACTCTATAAAATTTCAATATTAACTTTTGAACAAAAAAACAAATAAACTTTAGTACCATATGACATCATTCAAAGTCTTCAAGTTACAGTATACTGGTTATAAATCGAATAAAATACTTTCAAAGATGCTTTAAAATGTTTATCTTTATCAACCAATGTAGAAATATTTACTTATGAGTCCTAATGAGCTAATGTAAATATCTTTCTTGAATAAAAGCAAGGTATTAAGGCTCCAGACACATTGCTTGATCAATAAATAGCATGTAAAATTCATGATGTTAGAAAAACACGTAGGTTCAAGTGGGAATCCTGTGAAGAAGAAAGGTCCACCTTTCGAAAGCGCTCGGGTTATGGGGTTTTTATTCATTTCTAGCATGGAACATAATATTATCAAACATACTTCAGTAAACTCCATCCAAAAATTTAGCAGATGCCAATATGTTTTACTGCAATCTTATGCATAATGTACAAATAAAAAGAAAAAAATATATGAAGACAAGTAATTTCAGTCATGAAACAGGATGATATTATTGTTGAATTATTACTTTCTTAATACTTTTATTGTCTCTAATTTTCTTCACTCAAAAGTAATCTTAAGAAGCAATTATTTAAATAAAATGTAGTCACAACTTAGAGATTAATCTTCTTCTGACATAAATATATGTATGAATATAAGTTTCAAATGGACAGCAACTACCTGCTGTAGAAAACTACAAATTTAGAGGACGACATTTTGAAAGTCTTCCGCCTTTTGTTTGTGTGTGGTGTAGTTTGGTCTTTATACTGTTCTAGTGGATTGTGGAGAGCGTGTTATGATTGGTTGGTTAAAACACGTTTCTGATTGGAGGAGAGACTTCCTGTAGCCTCAACCACAGTTTACTCACCTCTAATCCTGAATCTCTGTTGAGTGAAGGTTTTATTGTGTTAATGTAAAATGATTCTTTAATTTTTCTTGTCTTCCAAAATTTGTCTGTGTCAATGATTCTAGCTTTTTCCCAGTTTATGTTGTGTCCAGTTGACATGGCATGTTCTGCAATGGCTGAAGTTTGTAGTTTTCTACAACAGGTAGTTGCTGTCCATTTAAAACTTAGATTAATGAATACTCTGCCTAAACAACCTATCAAAGATAAATATATGTAGTTTTTTCCTGAACAAAGTATTATGAATTATTCAGACTGTAAATATACTGTACATTAATCTATAAATATCCTATGAATAAACACAATGTGATGACGTATTTCGAAATCTGTTTAACTACGTTATAACTTTTTTCTGGTTTGTTTGTTTATGTTAAGCACAAAGCTACACAATGGGCTATATATCTGCTATGCCCACCACAGGCATAAAACCCAGTTTTTAGCCTCATAAGCCTTCAGACTTACCCCCGAGCCATTGTGGGGCACTTTTTGGGGGGGAAAGGGTTAATGAAAAATTTATCTTCATACACATTTTACAGAAGACCATAAAAATTTCAGTTGATTAAATGTTTGTTAGTTCAATTAGTTAAAAAAAATACTCTCATCACAAATTAAATAAAAAAACAAATTATCTAAGTCAAAAGCACATGTATTTTGAACAAAACTTAAACAGAAGATCTTACCAACAAAATCTTTTATCAGAGTAGCAAATTCTTCAATAGTATATTCATCAGGATTTCCCAAATTGATAGGTTGTGAATAATTTCCATTCATTAAAGCAACAAGTCCTTCCACAAGATCAGAGACATATTGAAAGGCCCGAGTCTGTTTTCCTGAGCCATAAATCTGAAGAAAAACATTCTTATGATTTTTTTTCTATTATGAAAATTGCTCAAGTACCTGGTAACATCATAAATACTTTGGCTAAAATATACTCAATTCACTTCATTAATTCTGCTCTTTTATATCAGAGTAAATGATGTATAATATACTCTAGAAACTATAAAAGTTTAAAATTACTCTGATATTATTTTAGTTTTTGTTTCTTCAATATTAGAAAAAATTCATAAGATCTTATAAAATCCTACTCCTTGAATATGACACCTAGTGTCAAATAAATCTGTCAAAATCTGCTGGAAATTATATATAACAAATTATTTTATTAAAAGAATATTTGATGATGTACTCAAATTAAATCATTGGTATTTGGATATTAAATGCTGTAGCACAATTAAAAGTTAATTATGTACCTAAGCAGTAATGTCACTAATACATATAAAAAAATATACATATACATTTGATCTCTTGATCAACAAAACATACCGTTATTGGAACATTTTCTAAGGCTTGAATAATAAAATTGCTGACTACACGTCCATCGTTAATGTGCATTCGAGGGCCATAGGTGTTAAAGATCCGTGCTACTCTTATATCAACGTTTTCCTGTGTTACAAGCAAAAATTAAACCCATAACACATTTTGCTAAAAAATTCAATTAAAAAATAAAAGATTTTACAGATGAGGAAAATAAATCTTTTGTAAAAGTAAAAAACTTGTAAAATAAAACCATATATTTTATATAATGTTTTAGCTGTTTTTCCTCTACATATTTTTAATTCTCAACTTAATATTGCTTATTGCTAATATATATATATATATATATATATATCTTTGTTTGTTTCTTTCTTTCACTGTAATTAAGCACAAAGTTACACAATGGACTTTCAGTGCTGTGTGCCTACCACGGATATCAAAGCTTGATTTTTAACGTTATAAGTTCACAGACATACTACTGAGCCACTAGAGGGCTATGTATATTACTTCGATCATATTATCTTGCAATTTGACATTTCAGACAGCAATTAATAGAGGTATAAAAATACTCCTGTTCTGTGTGTCAGCTAAAAGAAAATTTTAAGGCAGTTTTTTTCCTTATTTTAATCTTTAAATAAGTAGCTTGTTTTTATTCTGCTCACCGCTGGTGGAGTCCACATATAATATATTACATCATATTTTACAATTCTATAACTTTACCTGTAACATGCTGAATACAAAGAACTGACCAAAAAAAATTACTGGGATTAACTGCAATATTGATGGTATTTTTTTTTATTTTTGTCTTTGTGGGCTCTCATTATTAGGGACTCTGTAGCCAACAACGTCCTGAACACACGAGTAATTAGATGCATAAAAGTTTAGAGAAATAGGTTTAAAAAATTGGTGGGGTCCATTTCTTGGATTAAACAAGGAAAGACATGAATTCACCAATTAAATTAGTTTAGTTCAAGCCACTTAATATCTAATAAAAGAGATTTAGTATTTGTTTTATCTCACAATATTAACAAATGACCAGCAAAATTTAGATTTAAAAAGAAACAGAAAAAGCATTGTTCCCTTACATCTCTGGCTTTAAAGAGCAACTGAAGTGTTTTATGAATAAATTTAATATTATGAGGCAATATTCAAAATCATCAACACCCTAGGAAAAGTATTACAAATAAGAAAACAAAGATGAGGGTGATACAATAAAGAAATGTTACCTACTATGTTCTATACATATCTGGTAGAGAATATGTCTATAAAGGAACATCACAGAGACAAACACATTAACAGGAAAGTAAGACCTACATTGTCCAGATCAGTATGAAGATGATATTAAACCTAGATGTAGCTTCAAAAAAAGATGATGACCAAGGAAATCACTATAATTAAAATCAACTGTAGACTTCATGTAGAGCTGAAGATAATACTTTCTAACATTGAAAATGTATTCCCGATAGGTACTCATCACACTCATAGCTATCTCAACCTTCATTTGCCTTTTAGGCATTGGTAAACTTTTTAAAAGCTCATCAGTCTTTTATACCCCTATATTTTTGCTCCATTGTAGCAACATCTGCTGATCATGTGACTGCCCTCCACCAATTCCATTGTTCCCTCTATACTAGTGCAGGTAGTTCCCTTTACCCTTGCTGCACAATCCTCATATTTGAGAACTGACATATACAAACCCGAAAACACCGACAAATCAGTGGGGAGGAAAGGTGGGAAGTGGGTGAGAAGAGGTAAGTACTTATCGGAAATACATTTTCAGTGTTAGAAAATCTTAACTTCCGAAATGGTACTACCTCTTCTCCCCCATAGCTAGAATCCCACATTCGAAAGGTTGAGAGGCTGGTGAAGGTGTGAAAACAAATAATCAAGTGAAGAGCAACCACTATAAAAAAAACAAAAACAGGTGTGCCACAAATAAAATACGAGGCACACCTGTGGGGTATAGCACTACTTCTGGAACAGGTATGCTCTTCACCCAGTAAAGAAGATAAGACACATAGAGCCAGGCAAAAACACTCGGGGAAGCCCCTTGGTATACATTGGATTATGTAAAGTGTGGTCCATCTGGACAGAAAACATCCAGTGGAAGCATCTTGCATAATAGATTTCATGCCATATTGTGTGTATAATATGCTGCATAATGATGATACACCTCTTCTCATCGAGTGAGTACATATGGCTATGAGATAGTGTTATTGTACAAAACCAACTTGTGAGGAAACCTCCACTGTCCTCTACTCCAGCAACTGGGAACCAGAAGTGGCAAGGGAGGGGATTGCTTTGGGGGGTCTGGAGGAATTACCCACCAGAGACAGTGCAATGGGTGTCTGTGTTTCCCTATTCTGAAAAGCATAAAGACCTGGATTGTAAGAACCACGGGTAAGTAGGGATGGGATATAAAATTCAGCATACCTGACCAGGCAACACCCACCATCAGGTGGCATTTTGAAATATGATGTACAAGCAATGATAAAAGAGAAATGAAAAGTAATAATATGATGACTTACCTCAGTCACAGGCAAACAAATGTGTGTAGAATCACCACAGGAGGAAAATGATATGTGTCCAAGGAAGACATAGCAAAGTTGTGCAGAGAAAGAATGATGAATGTTTAGGGAATTGTCCATATACTAGCCTGAAAAGTCCCCTCCAAACGCTGGCGGAGTCAAACAGCTAGAGACTGAGTTATATGACAAATTACGTGTGAAGAAACAATATGTAGAAAGCGACCTGCTAGGGACACATTCAAATATGCCAGGTGTGGGAGTTGATAAACCCAACCCATGAGATAAGAGAAATATCAGGGGAAGCAGGAATGCCATGGAACAATGAGACAGAAACAAAAACAACGAAAGGAGACAGTACGAGCCAAACAACACAGCAGGAAATGAACTGGACAAAGGAGATGATCCAGAAATGAATGGGAAAAGGAAGGGAAGAGAAGAGAAGGCAAAACAACCTACCTGGTCAGCCAAGAACCAGGGAAGGAAATGTCAGATTTGGATAATGAAAAACATACAAGAAATTATAAAAGATGTCATAAAAATTGGAATGACAAAGACAACATGCAAGGAGGGGGAGGATTGAGGTCGTAAGAGAAATAAATATCTTCCAAGGAACAAATTGTAAAGGATTCAAAGGAGAACCATGCAAGATAGGAAGAACAATATGGAGATCCCAATCTGGCAGGACAAAGGAAACATGTTGAATGGACCAGATGAAAGAAATAGAACAGCCCGGAAAAGAGAAACTTTCTGGAAGAGTTCGACAGGGCAGCTCTATAAAGAGCAACAACTGAAACAGAAAAACCCTGAACAAACAACCAGATGAAGAACCAGGACAGATGAGGAACAGAAGTACAGAAAGGATGGAAGCCCTGGGAAAAAGACCAAAGACTGAAGCATGACTTAAGACCCTGGTACAAAGAGAAAGGGCAAAAGGTGTAGGCAATGAAAGATGTGACATGAGGGGTGAATCCCTGAGCTGAGGTACAGTACCGGACAAACAATACATAGAAAGATAGAGTATGTTGATGAAAGGTTGGAAAAACAACTGATCGTGGTGGACAGAGAAAGGTGCTGGGTCAGTTGCTCCATGAAGGGCCAGAGCAGAGGGAACTATGTTGGAGCTGGCCAATCCAGAGAAACCAAAAGAACACAGAAAGGAGGGGGTCTAGATAAAGTAAAAGACCCAGAAGAGGAGGAGTCTGAACAGAGGGTAGGCAAATAGGGTCGAGCCCCCTGAGCTGATGCACATGACTGGACAAAAGTCAACTCTGAAAGAAGGAGTATAGAGATGTTTCTAAGAAAAACATCAAATCAGGGATGACTGAGGAGCAGACAGGACAGAGAAAAGGATAAGGTGCATTGCTCCAGTAAGGGCCAAAGCAGAGGGAACCACATCTGAGTGGTCAATATAGAAGAATCAGCAGAGCTCAACAAAGTTTGGTCTGGATAAAGGAAAAGGCCCAGAAGATGAGTCAAATCAGAGGGGTAGACATATAGGTGAATACCCTTCCAATTTTGACCAAAAGCATCTATCTCCACAGCTGAAGGGTGAGGAACTAAAACTAAAAGGAAGAAGGTGTGGTGTACCAATGAATGGAAAACACATACAAATATGCAATGTTCTCTGTTGAGACCCCCCCTCCCTCCAGAAAAACGTGAGGATGAAGAGACCACTCTGTGGAGAACCTGGTGGGAACACATAAGAGATTGACCACAATAATCAGAACTCTGGGAACATGACCCACCAGAATAGTCACATCAAGGTCACTGGCCCAATACACAAAATTCAGTGTCTGACCAGACAGAGATTCGTACATGGTTCCACCTGTCTAGGTGATAAAGCTGACGATAATGGAACTGCAGAAAGAACCAAAACCACTCTCTCCTGCAGGAAAGGATACAGAGCTCAATGAACTACCAAGGTACCAGAATGTGGATATGGAGAGTAACCTCCTCGATTGACCACTGACACAAAAACTCAGGGGAATCAAGGAAAATGCAATGGTCCAAGGGATCATGAGGGAAGTTCCACTGGTCGAGAAGTATCCAATGTATGTCTGACTCAAAGGAACGAGCACTTTCAAAGAAGACCTCATCCCAAAAGAGAGAGAACCTCATGGACATAGAGAGAAAGAGAAGGGATGACACAAAGACTACAAACTTGCAGATGTTTTGCATATTGAAAATGTTTTATTTTGTACAAGACTTCCCAAATGAACATTACAATTGAAGAGAAAATATAAAATTAGGTTTAAAAGTTTGGATATTTTTAATTGATTTATACAAAACAAATATTAATGAAATTTATATCAGAAAAAATCTAAAGCTGAATATTTCACTTACAGCTAGAAGAAAAATAAAAAATAAATTTCATTATAAAACAAATAATATATAATAAATAGATATACAGCTGCATGGAACATCTTCAACAACTACAGATCCATAAACAGTTATCAAAAATAAGAAACTATGACCAACTAATACTATGAAACCAATACCTTTCTTGCATAAGCATAACAGAGGGCTTCAGCTGCACGTTTCCCTTCATCGTAACAACCTCTTGGACCAATTGGATTGACATGGCCCCAGTAATATTCTGATTGAGGATGAATCTCAGGATCTCCATAAATTTCTGATGTAGAGGCTACTAACAGTCTAGCTATTACTCTCTTTGCTAAGCCTAAAATTAATGAATGAATCTATAACAGCATCATTATGCTGTGATAGTGTTGATTTAACACTCAAAAGTACAAAATGAAAGTTTTAAAAAGTGGAGAATGGAATGCACAAACTTTTAGTGAAGAAAACTGCAAAATTACATTTCCAATGGCTTACAAGTTTAATATGAGAACAATTTCATAGTATTTGCCAAATGAGATCATTATATCAACTAATGCGTCTATCATTTAGAATATCAATTATAAGTAGATATTTGTACTCTCACACTGTGAGTCTTAATACAACTTAAAGGAATCTCAAAACTCTTGTAATTATAGGTTAATTTTTTAATTTTTATTATTTTAAAAATGCAGTGTTTATACTTATATTTAAGCCTTTCTTCATAACATTCTCTCTTGACACCATTATTAATCATGTGAATGCCACGTTTTATCATACATTCTATTATACTGTTACTGTTTGAAACTGTTCTTTCTAAACTTCTGACTGAATATGAAAACTACTCACTTAATAACAAATGGGTTTCTTTGTAGTTAAAATATTGTGAACTAAATGTTTGAGGTTTTAATGCTGATGATGGAATTTGAAGCAATTCCGAAGCATCAGATGTTTCTTAGTGTTACCATGTTTTATATATCTATTATAAAACTTCATTTTTCATTTGATGAATCAGTTGCAAATACTCTGGCACATCAGTATGGATACTGTGGATTACGTTTGTATTGTACACTTGAAAAGCTTGATCTCAAATTTATGGAGGTCAGTTTTTAACATGTACAAACCAAAAAGTTATTCCAAAATTCCTGAACTTAAAGGCAAATAACCAAAATCTCCAAGGCTCTTTTGCTTATCATTGCTGTATAAGAAAGCTAACTGTAGAAGAATTGAAAACAAATATCATCAGAAAAAAACAGCTAACAAACCAACATACTACAGCCAGTCTTGAACTTAAGAAGAAAATTCTGTGGATCAACTAACATCATCTCAACAACCTGATTTAAAATATGAGCCTGAAAACCATCACCAGACTTGAAAACAACCAAAATGTCAAGCTTAACAAACTACTTTCAGTGAAAACATCTCTTGGCATAAATCAAACAATGTAAGAATGCTCTACCAAATAGTGTAGATTTTTATCTATCTACCCATAAACTTAGTTTCTCAAATTACTTATTTTCCATTTGAATGTATCTACAAAACTCTGAAATCCTTTCCTAGTTTTAACAAAGATAACACACCAAATATAGAATGTCTCATCAAAGTAAATTTGAAAATGTGGCATTGTCCTCCATCTATAACTCCAACCCCCTTAAAAAAACCTTCTTCTATTACACGTGTTGAGTTCTCCTTAAAAAATTTACCACTAACAGAAAGTTATATGACCAGATAAATGTGCATGTGTCATCATTTTAACACGTTCACTGCTGATGATGTACATGTTTGACTTGTTTGTGTGTGTTCATAATGTCCATGTGCATCATAAATATAGAAATATAAGCACGAAATGTTTTAGATTTGTTATTATTACTATAGTTTAAATTCAAAACACAAAGATACTGAACTAAAACTTTTATCAATACTTGACACAGATGATGCCAAGCATTGTAGCAATTAACATGTTAAACAGATCTGATTATGTCTCCAAAATGGAAAACATTTTAAATGGCAGAACAAACTTCTGAATGAATATGAAAACTACTCGCTCAATAGCAATTGTTTTTTGTAGTTAAAATATTGTGAACTAACTTCTTGAGGTTTTAATGCTGATGATAGAATTTGAAGCAATTTTGAAACATCCGTAATGCAAGTTGTTTTTGGTATTACAGTGTTTTTAATATTTTTATAAAACTTCCATTTTTCAACTGATGAATCAGTTGCAAGGCTCTATTCATAATGAAAAAAAAAAAGATTTAAAATCTTTAAGAAGGAAAAGGAAATTAACTTACCAAGCATATTCATTGTACCTAAAGTGTTGGTTTTAATTGTTTTTATTGGATTCAGCATATAATGTTGAGGAGAGGCAGGTGAAGCTAGATGATAAATTTGGTCCACTGGATAAAATAAAGAAATCAGAATTAAAACATATAGCTTACTTCAACTGATTGGAGACAAAATTCCTTAACTGACTTTTGAACTAAGCCTCTCTTCGCAGTACTATTATATTGTCATGAGATACCAAAATTATGTAGCCCAAAAGAGATGTTGATGTCAATGTGTTGATATACAAAACACATCTCAAAATGTTTTTCTTTAATACCACATAATTCTGCTTTTAATTCTTTCACAAAGGGCTTCATTAAGTCTTTCTTTCATGCTACAACTACATCGATGTGTAGTTAATAACAGAATGACATGCATACATTCCACCAGAATTTATCTGAATGCATTATATCATTCAGAGGTTTTCAGTACATTGTATAAAATGCGAGAAAAATTAGTTCTATACTTAAACATTTCATTACTGGATCTAAAAATTTCAAGAATGTTAACATTTTCTAACATTTAAAATGTATTTATGATAGATATTTACCTCCAACACCAAAAGATAGCTTGACCTTGATTTGCCCTTTAAGCATTGCTAAAATTTTGAACAGCACACCAGACTTTTATACCCCTTTATTTCTTGCATCATTGCAGCAATGTGCTGATCATGTGACTACCCTCAACCAATCATACCTCACCATCAATACTAGCACAGGTAGTTCCCTCTACCATTGTAGCACAATGGGAAGTGGGTGAGATGAGGTAAGTACCTATCGAAAATTGTTAACTTCTGAAACGGTACTACCTACTCTCACCCAAAGCTAGAATCCCACATTGAAAACGTGGAGGGACCAATGAAGGCACAAAACAAGTGGTGAACAACCACCATGAAAAAAATTGCTGTGAATAGGTAAAATAGGAGGCACACCTGTGGAGTATAGCACTACTTCTGGAACAGGTACACTCTTTGCCCAGTAAAGAAGAAAGGAAGACACACAGGGTGGATTCACACAGAATACATGGTTGGGGCTAGAGGACTGTATATGAATAGGCCAAGTGCGGTCCACCCGGCAGAAAACATCCAGAAGTACCTTAGGATACGACATATTATGCCAAGTGTGTGGTCCAAGGACAAAAACAACATGGAAGCTCCTTGCATAAGTTTATAAGATTAACAATTGCAGCCTGCCTGGGCATAAAACATCCAGGGGAAGCACCTTGGATTTATATCAAGATAGCCAAGTGTGGTCAGCATGGGCAAAACATCTGGGGGAAGCACCATGGTATACATTAGATTATGTCAAATGTGGTTCATCCAGTGGAAGTGCCTTGCATATTCTTTTTTGTTCCATATTTTGTACATAATATATAGAGAGAACAATAAGTGTGGGCTAATCAGGCAGAAAACATCCAGTGAAAGTGCCCTGCATTAATAGTGTATGTCATGATCAACAAGTGCAGTCAACCCAAGCAAAAAACATCTGGGAGAAGCACCATGGATTGAGAATATTATGATAGTGTATAATATTAAGCATAACGACAGCCCTCTTCTCACCAAATGGGTACCTATGACTATGAAATTTGTTTAATTGTACAAATCCCACTCATGAAGAAACCTCCATGGTCCACCACTCCAGCAACTGGGAACTGGAAGTGGTAAGGACCCCCTTGCTCCACTAGAAGAAAGAGAGGGGGGGTTATGCATTCGGGGGTCTGGAGGAATGACACACCAGAGACAGTGCAGTGGGCATCTGCATTTCCTTATTCCGATAAGCAGAAAGACCTGGATTGTAAGAATCACAGGTCATTAGGGATGGGCAAAAATTCCTATCTGCTTTACTCATAAAGTCCATGAGTGAAGGTTCTCAGTATATATATATATATATAGTAGTTAAAATAGTGATACATAATAATATAGATACACCAACAACTACAGCGTATCTTAACAAAACTGACT